CAATGGCAGCGGCAGTAAGAGGAAGACATACAGCCATACGGCGAAACTTCTTCTGGTTTCTTTCAGATCGTCTCTGTTTGTCTTTTTCGTCCCACTCCGTGTTCTTTTCTTCTTTCTTTTTCTCCAGGCGCTCTTTGATCATGTCCTTGAACTTCTCAAACTTCTCCTTGATCTTCTCCTTGATCTTGTCTTTGTAGGTTTTCTTCTTGTCCTCCTCACTCACATCTTTGTCTCTGATACATACTGTCTTCGTGGGATCCGACTTCATGAGCGGTGGGCACTTGATGCATTTGGTCGGGTCGGACGGGTCTCGAATCCTGTTCTTCTTGCATCGAGCCTTTCTTTCACAGCTCTCTCCATCTCCCGCTTGTCTGTCAACTAAGGGAAATCGAGCTTCGCGGCCGAGCACGGATTCTGGCTGTGAGATATCGAGATCGGATGCCGTACCCCTGTGGACACGTTGCGAAGGTAAAGTGGTTTCGCTGGGGGTATACGCGGCGATCAAATGATTCGTTAAGAGGAACAGTGCTTTGATGGTCTTTGCAACATGCATGATGAGGGATTGGCAAGAAGCTAGCAGTAGTGTAAAGGTAGATTTTGATGTGAACTGAGAAGGACTCACGTCGATGGCTTTCTTATCAATGTACCTAGGTAAGCTGCCAACATTTCTGATTCGGTGACTGCTTGCGCAGGGCTAATCTAATTTGAGTGACGAAACAGTTAAGATACGTGGCGTATCCTACAATTGATCATATGAGAGGTATGGGACTGCATCGGACGGCTCAATTCTTCGCACGCGATACGTTGCCTCAACCGTTGGCGAGGCCACTCTACTCTCTACTCAGACATCCTGCCACATGATGCACACTGCCACGAAAGCGACGCTGGGGCGGGTGAGCCCAACACAACGAACACTGCCTTCACGAGGCACGGATTCTGCCCTGTGTAAGAACCTGTGGGGTGGAAGCTGCCTATAGCCCCCAACCCACGTAACCTGACCGGGACCTCTATGGCCCCGCTGTGCAACCAAACTTCTCGGCCTGCTTCAGGCCCCATCTTACATACATATTTTCGAAACCAAAAGGTGCAGTCTGACACCTGGGCAGTCTCGGAATTTCGAACTTGCTATATCGAGCGCCATATGCTTACCTACGTACAGTCGATCAAGGAGGACTTCTTTGCTTGTTTGGTTGCCGATGCGAAAGACATTAGATTCACCGTCTAATCACGGTGGGGAAGTCTTGCTAGACTAAATACATGAACAAGGAGCTCTCGGTCACTAAGAGTTCATCAGCGTATAGTTTGATATGGAGCGTTACATTGAAGCGAAAGATCATTACACGAAGCAAAGCGTCTAATCATATCGCTACATTTGCGGCTATAACCATCTGGCGTTTAGACTTCATGATCAAGCTTGCGGAAATCATATCGCGCAGAAACTGATACATGTGGATTGCCAGCTGAACTAAACAAACACCCTTCAAACTCAATCTAAGCAAACAATCGCGATTTCATTCACTTCAGCTCCGGAGCTTCCATGCCATCGACCGACCACAAGTCCCAGACTTCATAACTTCCATAGTTCCCCACGAGGCAGCCATCGTCGCCATACGCCAAGATATCCGAGGGCTTGCAGTCGTCGCCATTGAAGAGGACGACAACGGAGCCAAAATCTTTGTCACCTTCACCTCCGGCTTGTTCAGTTTCATTGTGTTCGATAATGATGGCTGCAGCTACCCCAGCGTTGTCGCGGTTGCAGCCAGTGCTGGCATCGACATCTCGCCAGCCAAGGTTGGCACCGCGGCAGCCCGCAGATTGACTATACGCCAACGCCAAAAGTCAGTAGTTGTCACACATATGGATTATGGAAGGCGATGACTTGCTAGTGATGGAGGCGATAAGCGTTGGCTATGCAGACCAAGTGCTGGAGGAGGAAGAATGCCTTCATGTTCATAGAGACTGTGTATGTGAAAGAGGTGTAAGAGTCGTCTTTGATTGCAACGATCTTTACAGTGAGGATGAGCGGTGGATTGCGTTTGATGCCTGCTCAGGAGTAGATCTGGGCTGTGAAGATTCTTGAAGGATCTCAAGGTACGTTTGTAGCCCCAGGACAAAAGGCATGGGTAACATCGCGTGGCTCGTAGCGCTCATGTGGTTAAATTTGGCAAGTAGTTGGACATGGCATCTATTTGAGAGCATCCCTGTAACTCCTCAGTATGCAAGTAATGTGGGGTTTGGATCGGAAATGAGTATGCGAAGATACCGCACCGCCTTCAGCTCAAGCATTTGGCCCGTGGGGGCACTTTTCATAACCGGGGGCTGGCCCCGTGGCTCTCCCGCAGCGGCACGGCCGCCGTCTTACTCTTGCGTCAGAGTGTTTCGAAACTTCACGTCTTGGCTTCTTACGAGATCTCCATACATGCATTGGAAACATTCTACGCAGATAGCCTGTGCCGCATTTATATCAGCAATTACAAATCTTGACCCCGGGAGGTACTACGTATAGTCCTAGGATCGTGGAATGACTCCGTGCCACTCTATCGCCCCCATTCTGTGCTTTTGTCGGGGATCCTGGAAGCCTATGCCTCAGCTTCTTATGACATCTTCATGCATGCAGTGGGAAGTTTCGTATCATCATCCGAAACGTAAGGCTGACCTCTTCTTGGTCTTACTGAAGACCGAGTGTCGGCGGCTCCTCATATATGCTGACCAATTTTGGCCTTTATTCAATACTGAGCAATCGCCTTTCGACGACAGTGCCTCATAATGCATCCGATACATTCGGAACAGGACGTTTGAGCGTCTGCAGAATCCATGCTGCCAATTTGGTCGATGAGACAAGCGTATACCAATACGGCCCCAGGGTGTTGTGCTACCTAGCATATCTCTTATTCGCCAGAATGGAGAAGCGGAATCGAAAGCGGGAATTGGCCAACTACTTGACCGCTCCGAAGTTCAATGACAGGAACAAGTAACCAAATCAATAGCTGGTTTGAAATCAATGACTAGGTACAGTGTAACTACCATGTAATTTGCAAACGCGTAGGAAAAGAAAAATGCCTACTCTTCCACAGCACCCAGCTCTACCACTAACCTCATGAAGGGCTTGAACTCCTCTGGCATCCAGCTGTGTAGGTCTTCGACATAATGTCGCGGGACTTTTGCCCCATGCTCTGCAAGGTATCGGATCATGTCATCAGATTTATCGTACATAGCCGTCGCTAGTGCTCGTAATGGGGCGGCTCGATGCTCACGGATGTCCGTGTTCCAGTCAGTGACATCTTCGTTGACATCTGCACCCGCTTCTAGCAACATCTTCACAGTTTCCATGTCGTGCTTCTTGACTGCTAGCTGCAGCGTCCCCGAGTCCTTGAACCAGTCGATTCCGAATCTGTCCAACAGGACTCGAATTGACGCAGCCTTCGGCCATGGCTTTTCAAAGGGTGCAAAAAACATTCCTCGGAACCTGCTCACACTTCCTCCATGGTCTATCCACCAGCGAGTGGCGTCAGGTCCCATGCGAACCATACCACACCAGGTTGAATTATGCGTAGTTGAATTGTAGTTTAACTGCTGTGGGTCTGTGCGCCATTGGCAAAAGTCCAGGTCGAACAAGATATCGAGCCATTCCACACCGTTTTTCCCATACCAGCCGCAAAAGGTGTAGGAGTCGAAGTAGTTGGGCGAAAAGCCGATCTCGAAGCAGAAACGGAGTAGCTGGGTGTCGCGTATTTCTGATGAGATTTTCATGAGAGGACGGGAATAGTATATTGGGTCTATGCCAGAAGATTCAAGAAGTTCTCTGATGGCAGGAATGTCGCCTTGAAATGCACTCAGGAAGATCGAAAGGATGATGGTTGTATCTACGAACTCGTGTAAGCAGTGAGACCCACAGCCGGTCATTCTGCATTTTGATCACACTTACCATCGTCTGTGGGCGGCTCATAGTTCTCGCTGAGCAGTAGATCTCGTACTTCTCTCTCGAAGCCCCTCAGATTCCATGCCTTTTTGTCGGCAGACTCTACCGTAGATTTGGGAAGCTTGTAGTAGGCCACAATGTGCCGCAAACATTCTTCCAACGTTCTCTCGCCACTCAATCTCGCATCGCGCGCTTCGCCAAAGCTGGAGAGAGTCGTTGACATTGCGATCGTTATCAGCGATAAGGCTCACTATGATGCCTAGGTATGTGAGAAACGCAAACCTTGGAAGTGAAACAAATTCAAGGCTGGTCGGATCCAGAAGGTGGGAAAGAGGGCGGGAAAGAGAGCGACGAAGATCTGTGTACTTTGAGCGCAGACGTGTACTCCGGGCTTCTACAGTTGATGATTTTGAGAGGTGTGCGGGCGGATATTAACCTGAGGGTGGCACAGTGACGCTAGTGGATTCATAGCTAGCGGTGTACACCTACAAGCGCTTATTTGACATCGGCTTGATGTTGCCTAACATGCCAAGGGTGGCGCATTCCAACCTTGGAGGTACCTAATTAGCCCAGGCGGACTCAGGGCATTGACGTTCTATCTATGTTACTACCCGATGCACGGAGAAGGCGTCGCGCGCGCAAGGATTTAGGGAGACAGAAGACCTCGGGAGGGCTGTTTCAACCCCGAATCCCGATATTTCAAGAATTATGTGTGTGACGCCTCAAGGTCGCGTCTCTTGGTGAGCATTGGGGGCTGTAGGGCTTTGCGATACCTCCCTAGGTAGGTAGGATGTGTTGAATCTTCTTGAGATGTGGCCATGTGCCACGGGACACATGCCTGCCTTTGTTTCAACGCGCGATTGCAAGGCAGATAGTCAAACTGGAGTTCCTGTACTATCAAGATACCGTGGCCAAAGATATCGACACAAGTCTCGCTGAAATCCTTGCTGAGAACTAGGTATATCTTCTCTCAACTCCTATCAGCATTGGGTAAACGTACACTGAATCAACACTTGTCGCCTGGACTGCGTCAATCCTTACGTTACTGCGTATATTTTCATCCTGCCATCGCTACCACGACATGAAGACCACATGGCTCACTATCCTGTGCTGGACTTACATCCGGCTGTCCACATCTTTCCCTGTCGATGACAGGCCCGCATTTACACCATGGGATCTGGCGAAAAGAGAGATCGAAGCAGCTATCTTCTCCAATCCTCTGGGACCCCAATTTGGAGTACCTGATGAGACGTGTCGTGGCACGCTGGAGGGCCCCAACACCGGTAGTTGCTGGAAGATGGCAGATGTCACAGTTGATGTGAGTAGTTTTACCCTCTGAATCTTTTTAATCCAATGACTAAGCTACCTAGAAATTCATCGCAAACCGAAAGCCCGAGGCCAACGAATGCGAGGTGCCCTGCCTTTTCTACACCTCGAAACTCACGGGAGCGGCAGAAAGGCTGGCCAATTTTGTTCTGAAGGAGGTACTTTTGACGGGGGCTGCGGAAGGACCGCGCAAGTACCAAACTATCTGGGTACGTCTCGCTAGGTAGAGTACAACCACGCGAGAATGCTAACTACTCACAGGAGCTACATCCGCCAAAGTTCTATCCAAACAAGAATGACCTGGACAAGACTCCCGAGGCCAAGTGCATCTACCAGGACCAGAGGGATCAGGACTACGACGCGAACTTCGATGGTTGCCAACGGCTATACTTCAAGTCAATGTCGAAGGCCATGGCAATGGAGTGCAAAGGCGAGGTCTTCTTGATGACCAATTCAGATCTGAGCGGTACTCGCCCCGAAGGAAAAAAAGAAAAAGTTCCAGTGGATGGAATTTGGTGGCAGGTTGAATTTCCGACACTGATCGATGATGCTCGACCCGCAGACAAGAAAATCACAAAAGTCAGTCCAGAGCCACGCCGTAGGTACCAATTCATGGATGTTTAGGTTAACAGTCCCTCTAGATCAGTTATCTTCAAGTACCTTTTAAAGACCTTGGAACGCTAACTGCAGAAGAGAGAAGCAAGCCCCCCGAGATTGAGGCGAGGGGGGAGTATTGGCCTAATGGAGTTGGCAACGAGCATTTGCAAAGCTTTCGCAACGAACAAAGTCCGCAATCGACGCCGAGCCCGCAATCAACCCCCACTCCCACCCCCGAGGCAGCCAATCCGGTTGAGACCCCTTCCAGCGGTCTTGTCAGGAGGGCAGATCGGACAGATGAAGAAGTCCTTGAACCTGATGACGAAGGTTATCCTTATCATTACTCCATCGATGAGATCTATGACTGGTACAAGGCAGCAGCGTGGTAGAGGCTGGGAAAGGAAGACATGCAAGAAGATCGAAATTGGTTTGGTGGAAGGCCGCGACACTACAACGATTTTGCTGAGTCTCTTATTCCTCGAGTGGTATCTGGCGATGTAACTAGACTTTCCATATGTCTTTATCAGCTGGCGTTTATTGGTACGTAAATAGATTCGATGTCTGCAATTCGCTGAAAACGTCATCTTACATCCGGGCTCGGCCTATCACGTTGCACGTTGGCGCGCACCGCCACAATCGCCACATCTGCACCTATAAATGACAACCGGCTGAGTGGACGACGCGAGCATTTACGTGTCAAGTCCTCCGCGTATATCGGCCGTTATCGCTGGGTGACCGAAGCACCTCATACAAGAAAAAAACTGAACAGGGCTAGAGCCTACATCGACGCTAGGTCACCTATCTAGTAGGTTTACATGTTGATGTAGGCTGCAGGCCTGTTCGGTTCTTTTCTCGATTGACGTGGAAGCAAGCATCCAGTATTTGCCCGACGTACGCCGGGTCGGGGCTGACGTTGCGGGGTGAGCAGAGGCTTAGCTTGGGTAGTACGCGTGTTGCATCAATTATAAGTAGAGATGCTAGCAGTATCGACACCAGTATGTAGTACAGTCTTTCGTGATAGCAATTCTTACTCTCGGTCGACATATACCAAGCTTTCCAGCAAATCTTTAATTCTTGGATCTCCGTTCACAATGCCAAACGTTCGAATCGGCCCGACACATGAAGGCCGTGCTCAAGGACGCATGTTCTGGTCGCCTGCAGAAGAAGGGTCATGCGTGCGAAAAGTGACAACAGTTCGTCGGAAGGGCATCGATGAAGGACCTAACGGATACCCGGCGGTTGCAATCTCGAGACGAGCGGAGGAGAACAACCTGGTTTACCCAAATCCGGAGTTCTCGAGCACACGCTCTTTCCGGCTTAACCAACGTCTGACAATACCAATTTCGGCAAAAGGTCAAAATCTGAATGAGCCAAAACGTAGTACCGGAGACCTGAACCTTGAGCGCATAGTCACGTCGACACAAGCCGCGCGAAGCGATGATGTTGGGAGGGACGCTGCTCCACAAAGAGCCTCGAAGAAGTCGTATGAACATTCCAGAGTTCTCCAGTCTCCTCAGCCGGATCTCGAGGTGGCAGGCGTGGAAGACTGTACTAGCCGACCCGAGATATCTTCGCCAGATACCACAGCAGATACCACAGCGCGCAACTCTTTCATCGGCGTTGAATGGTTGTCGTTCGACCATATGATGAAGCACGTCGCGGCAGTATTTGAGGGGAAAACGACGCCTAAAAAGACTGTTGTGAAGCGTCCGTTGGCCCGGTTCTGGGTTGATGCAAAAGGTGTGATGGCTGTAGCTATTGCATCGATGTAGAAAATCGGAGTTGCTGCTTAATGATGAAGTGTCTTGTTCACACGCTGGACTCTTGGTGAGCTTGAATCCAAGCAATAGCGTTACACACACGGTCTAGTGCTATTGGTCGCCTGTTGGTATCCTTTAGGTCTTCCCTATAGGATACGAGCAACTGGTAGGACGCTGAAAGCTCCTCGTTACGCAGCGCCAGAACTGTACGTATAAATATCCAAAGTGATTCTTGTTCGGCTTCGAGACTGATTGCATAGTTCAGTATATCGCTCACCAGCTCCCGCTGTAGCGATGTAGCTACGATAGGCATCAGATACAGTAGGAACGACCAACCGGAGATATCGCTTGGGTGTCTGCAGCACCAATCCTTGACGCCGTGGGCGACATGGTCAACCATCTCGCTGCTATCAAGCTTAGATACCAGCCTACGAGCATACTGCCAAGCGTGGTAGTTCTTCGGATGCTGCTCTCCAGACTTGTAAATAGCGGCGAATTCGCTCTCCCAAAACGTTGCTATTTGTTCTTGCGATGCATCTCCCAGTTCTATGAGTCTCAAAGAGTCCACGATGCTGAAGCGGTGGTACCACAAGGTCGGCGACTTGGACTGACGATGAAGTGGAGAGATAAGTATGCTGTTCAGAAAGCACAGCTCTTGTCGTAATGCCCTATGGTATGGAGTGCCAGCATGAAGACCGTGAGCTTCTTTTAGCTGGAACAAGGTGCGTTTTCGATAATTTGCTGCAGTGAGATGCTCTGGGTCGAATAGAAGCATGACCTTTGTCGCTTGCAATGTCTGTGCAGCCGTGATAGGATCATGTGCCTTGCTATGCACGAAGAAATGTTGGCGGGCTTCCAGGTAGGCTAACGCAAGTATCTTCTTCGGCACTCCCAGACTCATTCCGTCTTGCATTGTGATGCCATCCGGTGGCTGTATAGCAGGAGGTAGAATCTCGATCTCGATGACTTCGTCTGCATGCTCCTGGAAGTACTCGCTCAATGAAGCAAAAGCCAGCCTCTGGAATTCCTCTTGCTGCCTGCATTTGGTCGTCATGGCGGAAGATCTGATTTCGTGGGTTCAAAGTGAAAGCTGCCCAGCTGTCGCAGAAGGAGGACCCTTGCGCACGACCCCACCGCGTTAGCTTGCAGCTCCCAAAACCGCCTGGGCACCATTATGACATAACCCTTGACTTCAACACGATGCAGTGAGAACACGCTGCACCGCGATACTGGTCCCCATCCCTCAACATGCCGTCTCTCCTCCTGGTTGTCTTCACCCTGCAGCTGTTGCTCCACATCATCAACACCGTGGGCGCATCCACGGTCAACGACCTGGTAAGCCCCGCACCCGAAAACAAACACGCAGGAACCTGGGACTGACACATGGCAGCTATGGATCCTGTACAATAAGCTGCCGACGCCAACATCTGGGTCTGCGCAGAGATGCCAGGCCCTCAAAAAGGATATTGTGCGCTTGAAGCGCGAGCTGGGCAACACGTCGCCTCAGGACAACTTCTCAAAATGGGCCAAGCTCGACAGGCAGCACAACAAGGCTATGGCTGAGTTCCAGAAGCTAGGTAAGCGCTCCTGCGCGGAGACGCTCCCACCGGACACGTCAAGTGCACTTGCTAACGCTCTTCTCTGCAGATGGTTCCCTGCGCTCGCACCAGTCCACCTTCACTTCCGCCGTCTCGACCCTGCGCTGGCTTGGCACCCAAGGCCTTCGATTTGTTCTACAGTTCTGGTTCTCCAAGTCGCCTATGTTCTGGGTACCTGCGGGGTGGGTGCCATACTACGTCGAATGGGTGCTGAGTTTCCCGCGCGCACCTCTGGGAAGCGTGAGCATAAACATATGGGGTATCGCGTGCGCAAGTATGATCGCGCTGGCAGCAGAGGCAGTAGCTGCGGTTTGGGTACTGGTCATGCGCAAACCAACACCTGTGGCGGCAGAGAAGCAGCGCGAGAAGCACGATGCTATGGCCTTCAGCGCAGACCAGAAGTTTGCAGAGAAGAAAGAATTGTGAGCGCGCTACGTGTCCGATTCCGCGTGTATATTTCATACAACTTCAAATCAAGTAAAAATTCAATATGTCTCCCAACAAAAGACGCAAAGTCGTCGTGGCTTTCGCTCAGACACTGCAACACGAGTGGGATGATCTTGGCAGATCCTTGGGCTTCTTCTAGGCTACAAATTGAACTCGTGATCGTGGAGAGTAGCGTATCACCGAGTCTTCGAAAGAGCCATCTACTAATCTATATTCCTTGACTGACATCCTAAAAAGAACGACGCGGTGCACGGCAGCTGGCATGAAGCTGCATCGTCCGACCGCATGCGTATAATCTCGTTGGAAGCGAAGGGTTTTGTTTGGTGTGGAATGGTCGCACTGGAAGCTTGAGAGGGAGAAAAGTGAAAATTCCGCGCTAACAGCTCGCGGCCCGACAGTGCCCCCGAAGAGCGCTTACCATATTTGGACTATCGCGTCTCGTTGGCACGTATAGACAATGTGAAGAACTCCATGAACTTGAGGAACGAGAAACTCTGCGTCTGAAAGTCGAAGGTTGCTAGCTAGGAGTTCAACGGAATATGTGTCTATAGCTAGGTCACCGACTCCCTCCCTCGGATCATGTCACGTGCGTTTAGACCGTGCCCGAGGTCCAGGGCTGACCGGCTTGAAAATATCGCAGTGTACATCTGCCGTGTCTCGCGTGTCGTCGATCGTGCCTTACATGAACATGATCGACTATTTTGGCCGTTGATCACCACCATTCAATAGCATACATCCTGGTTTAGCTCTGTCAGCTACGGTGTAGTCGCTTGGAATGCAACACGGGACGGAGATGGGTGTCACCTCGTGTCGTGTGCTGCTTGCCTGACCGCACCAGGTAGAAAGTCTGCCGAAAACGAAGTGAGTCAGCCTCCGACTCATTGTCGTCGCGTTTCAATGCCCTTTGACAAGGCCAAGCGAGGGGAGCCGCCAAAGTCCAATAATGAGGCTCTACCGCGTCCTTGTGGGTCTGTGCGCATCTTCCCCATATCCGCATGAATGGTTCAGCGCTCGCCGGTTCCAGGCCGATCCAAATCTGGCTGTCATGTGTGGATGAGGGTTCCCCGCAATGTGGGATGAGATTGCTAGGTGCAGTGATCGCTCAAAGGTTGCGCACCTCGCTCTGCTTACGTGCACAGGGCTTCAGTAGGGTTTGCAGAGGTGTAGACGGCGTCTGGGGAAGCATGATCGCGGCTGGTTTCTCGAGTCAAGTGCGTGCTGG